AAAGAAGAGAAACAAAAATATTGAAGAAGTATAGCAATAACTATGTCTAAGATACATACCAATTTTCACTTCAAGTTTAAATTTATGGGGAGAATATCTTCTTATAAGTAAAAAAAAAGAGTTTGGAAGATATGTTATCATTTGAAAATCGAAAGGGAAGTAAGCAATATCTTTAGGGCTACAATAAAGTCATAAAATTTTGATTGAAATATTTTACAAATGTGGTTTTATGATTAAACAGCTTTAGAGCATTTGGTTTGGGAGTCTTTTGAATGTCACCTGGGCAAAAAAATCTTAAAAATATCGTATATAAGAAACTATTTAAAAAATATTAAAATATATAACTCATTGTACAAATGAGCTGTAATAGTTCATGATCATATTCTTAATTCTCTAAGATTTCTCTTTCTGAATATTTTTAGTTGGGATTTTAACTGGCCCTGACAATAATAATCACTTATATTCTATTTTGAAAAATGTTATCATGCTAAACTAAGATAGAAGTAAATACAGCTAATTAATAAGCAATGAAATATTATGGTAAGTCCTTACATATGAACATACAGGGTGTAAGGTGTACGGCGCGTAACATATCTTCCCAGGCAGACGAATCGATTAATTCACAGGCTTTTATTGGGGTTCCGCTCCTGGGTGAGGTTCACCGGTCAACAGAGCAACAGAGCAGGGGCCAGAGAAGTCGCACGTCAGAGATTGGGAGAGCTCCTTTTATAGATACAGGGCGTGGGGGTTAAAGGTTGAGGCGGGTCTGATCCTCATTGGTTGACCTTTAGGCACCCGCAGGGACCTTGACAAGGACTTTCTTCCCCGGAAGTAGGCCTCTCCATTCCCGGAAGTGTAGGCCTTCCTTCCATGTGGATCCCAAAGCTATCACAGGGATAAACTTGTTGTCATAAATTATATACTTATTATTGAAAACACAGATATGATCTCTATGCTCAATCAAGTGATTGAACTGTGTATACTCCTCAACACTTTCATACATTTAAATAGTCATACCCAAATGTTTTCATATTACAGTTAAGAACACTTTAAATTTATCTCAATTGCAATAATTATTTATTCTATTTCCATTACTCCTTGAGATATTTCCTAAATAAAATAAAAAGAACATAAAATATATAAACTCTTCAGTATTGCACATTTTGATTATTCATAAAACTCAAAATAAATGAGAAATAAAGAGCCTAAAAAGAAAATGCCAACATTCAAAGATAAATAAAATTTCAAAACCAAATTATTAATAAATATTCAAACCTACTGAGTAATAATAGTTTCATTGTGGCTCTTTTGAAATTACTCTGTCTTTGGAAAATAAATCATGCATAAATTATTAAATAAATGAAATGCATCACTTTTTATGGCAAATAATTCTATACATATATAAACTCAGTATGTGAAGTATTATGCTAATGAACTGAAGATAGGGCAATAAGGAAAAGGGATTCTGTAACACCACAAACAAAATAAAATTCAAACAATCACTTTATCTTCTTAGGTGAAGCTATGATAATGAATTTAAGCATAGAAATCTATTGAAAGAAAAATTTAGATGATAACAAACATCAACAGGTTGTTACTGTCCTTGTCTAAAAACGATCTAATATCCAGTTACTATGCATTTCCTCTAAAGTGCCATCAAGGTAAGTCCTATTAAAAATTCATAATATTTTAAAAATTGCCAGTGACTTTTTCCTAGGCAGTTTAAATAAGCTTTCCTACAATCTAACCATGGCTACAGATTTTTTTTATCGTTACTAATTTTAAAAAATAAAAACAAGTATTAATCATTGACACAAAGCAGATATATCCTAATTAATGAAATCACCTTAGTTAAGAGCCAAGATTTACAAACATATATTAAACACACACACACACACACACACACACACAGTTACTTCAACGGAGACAAATTTCCATGTTTTGCATTGGAGTCTTAAGACATCCCTGAAGATTTAACCTATTTTACAAACCAAGTCACCATCAAAATCCACTTAAATATTTTAAGGAACACCTCAAAAACAGTGAAATGTAACAAAACTCACTAGTGTAATACATATTTTTTGCTAACTTGTAAAACTATTCATTATTGAATTCAATATTTCACCACTAACAAGGGTCAAAACACATATTTATTTCTAAGCCATACAAATATTATCAGGTAAAATACAAATTAACTTTAGAAAATTATATGAAGACTATCACTTTAAACCAGCAATGGCCACACACCACCCACAAATGGTAGACTCTTACTGTTATCTATCAACACCTCTAAAGATAGGGAAAGTACAGCACCTGGGCATGTGTTTAAACTTGAGGATTTGTAACATCAAAGAAAGGACAAGAAAGTCTGGTCATGTTAATGCTGACTAATTTTAAATAGTTATGCAATTACAAATGTGCAGTTCTATTTGAACACACACTAGTCTTCTACTTTGTAACAACTGAATTGTTAATTTTTAGCAGTCAATATTTTTAAAAGAGAAAAAAAATCTGGATGCCTTGTATAACTTTTTAATTATTTTTTCAAAAAGTTAAAATCAATATTTTTTCCTATTTCCTCAATCATAAAGTGTTAAAAATGTGTTTCAGAATACTTAAAAAAATCGAATGACATGTAATTCTAACACTCAAAAAAAAGATGACATATATTTAAAGTATTTAGAGTTATGTATTTAGAGTTCATACTGATTTAGAGTTTATACTCATTTAAAATTCCTAATATCTATAAGGCATTTCCTTTGATAACAAAGTAGTACATAGACATAATTAAAAAAAAGTAATATATACACAAAACCTGGTATGTTTTCAAAAAATGTACAAATAGTAAAAATGGCAACTAAAATAGTAATGTCTTTAGAAGTTTATAAAATGGACCTGAATTTCAACCTGACTGCAAGGGGATGCTCACATGATACCTCTACATACATCCTAATTATTACTTGTAGTTGCCTGGCTAAATCAGTAGGGTTCCTTTCCTCTTCAAACAATTATTCATACAGTTTATATGGAATTTACACAAATGTCAAAGTATGACAGAAAACCATAACTAGGCATCATTTAAGATTCTCATTTTCTTACATAAGTGATGTGTAAAAGATCAAGGCAAGCCAAATATCAAAAACCGATATTTATAATCTAGAAACTGTTAGCTATATATTAAAAAAAAGTCACCAACAATGTATTTTTAATTCAGCGGATATATTTATCGACATATAAGTGTTAAACAGGCTAAACCTGATGTCTTGTGGTTCTAAATATTAGCATTAATAAAGTATCTAATATTTGAATATTTTAAAGGTAAACATAAAAAAACAAATTATAACAAGGTGTGATCAGACAAAGAAAAAAAGTGCTATTTTTTTCATTCATCTATAAAACAAATTTATGAGATCGTAAAGAACAATTTAACAACCTAAAGAAGGTTCAAAGGGGAAAGCAAGAGCCTGAGAGAAAATGGATTTGTCAATGATTTTTAGTCATTCAGTCTGAGGAGAAAGAAGAAAATTCAGAAAATGTAGCTTCATTTTACAACACAAAATAGGAAGCATAAAACCCAGTAGCCTGTAAGTGGACTCATATTTATGTGTTTAAACCCTGTATCAATTCACAGATTATGCTGATCCTGCCACATGTAAACAGCCAATAATGACGGCCAGGCTTTTGGAAAAGGAACACACACCACACAGCAAGGTCAGGCAGCTAACCAAGCACCACAGGACAACAGATCAAAACAGAACGGTTTCATATGTTTCTGTTGTTTATACACTTAATATGAAGATGATATTCCTTAGCAGGGCTGGGTTGGGGAGGGAGGGCGCAAATATTACCAGGAATACGTAACACAAAATCAAATAAAATACACAATGCTCATGCACAGATACTAAGCATTTCAGGCATTCATCTCTGTCAGTCAACCTGTATTATTAAAGCCATTCATTCACTTCTTTTTAACTTAGATGTCAAGCCAAAATAAACCTCTTTACTCCTAAGCCTCTTTATTTCTAACTCTGAATTCACTACAGAGAATATACATTTCCTTAGCTTCTGTGGATGAAACAATCAGGCTTGCAAACTATAAATATCTTTTTTAACTGTAAAGAGATTAAGCAATAGGAAGGAATGGAAGGGGAAGAGATTATTAATTCATTACGTTTGGGGCAGAATTCGAATATGGGAGGAGGCAATGACAGTGTTTGGTATTTAAGTAACTTAAGAAACTACAACTCAATACAAGCAATGGTGGAAATTTACCCAGGATAGCAGTCAAATTTTAAACACACAAGCCAGAGCCGCCCTTGGCCACATGTTTTTTTTTTTCATTCAGTCTCTTAAAGAGACAGAATCCTTGGACCAAAGCTCTATGGAGCCTATTTCTAAAATGTGTGGTTATCAAGCATCCTCGCCGACATTTCTTCAAATCCATCCTGGGCCAACAAGTGCTTTATTTTATTATACTATGAAATCAAATTATTTTGATCGGAATCTACAAATGACTACAGAACAAGCAGTGATGATAACAGAAGGAGCTGCTGTGCCTGGAGGTAACTAAAATAAGGGGACCTATACCATTTCTTACAACAATTTGCTTTGCCTTTTTTTTTTTTTTAACTTTAAAGCGATCACTGTTTCTTCATTCATTTTCCCACCCATCCACGCGCCATGGGCGACGGAATATTGTAACCGATAACACCGGAAGCTGCAGGAAGGCAATTTTGCTGAGGAATGGAGGGAGGGGGAAATACTAGCAAAATCAACCCCATTCCAAAGAGTGGAATTTCAAAGGCTTCATTTTCTGTTTAGGGAAAAATACCTAGGAAGGGGCTCACACAAGTCTGCCCAAAACTGGATCACCTCGTGATTTCAGAGGAAGGTTTTTGTCTCTCAGTATACACAAGGGCACATTATTGCCTATCTATTGACTTAACTGCAGATCAACTCAACACGGAAAAAGGTAAGAGGGGGGAAAAAGTTTGCCTTACTTGGTGTACAAACACATCGACTGGAATATCCAAGGGGCTTCCCTCTCGGTTTATCATGGAGATGAATCCAAATCCCATGCGCACATTGAACCACTTACAGTGGCCAGTTCCGTGCAAAACCTGGGATTCCTCCTCTGCCGGCTCCGGCAGCTTCCCGAGTTCTTCTCCGCCACCTCTGCTTGCCCCGCCTGAGACGGAACAGGACAAAAAAAAAAAAAAAAAAAAAGTCAGTTAGTGTATTTTCTCATACTGTGCCCATTCAACGAGGGGATTAAAAAGAAAACTGCTGGGGGGGGGGGCGCAGGAAGAGGGAGAAAAAACAGAAAACACACTAATAAATGGTCTGCCTCCTTTTCTTCTACAGAAAATGTCTAACACGAAAAGGGTTAAAAGGGAAGCGGGGGAGGGGGAAGCCACACTGTTCTATCGATCACGCCAACTTCCACGTTTCTGCACATACGCGCGTACTTTTTCATTTAACTCCGTTTTTCAGCCAGATACTACAGTACGGCATTCCATACTTGGCTTGCATGCTGCTGATTTCACACTGATCCCATTTACAAAGACAGATTTGTAGCCCAATCAGCCCCTCCGTCGGGCACGAGGAGGAAAGAGAAATCGGGAAGATGGTTAGCACTACCAGTTAATGCACATGCGGCGGCCGTGAATCCAGGCTGATTTGCAATGTGCGTTCCCCTCCCCTCCCCCCCTCACCATAACTTTCAATTAAAGTTGGGGTGGAAGGGGGGAGGGGGCAGGTGTATGAAAGTTTTCTAGGGCTCACTAACTGAAACTGCGCTTAATCACACTCACACAATTCAAACAATAGCCCCCTGAAAGCTTTTCAAGTTGTGAATCAGGGTGGGCGGTACAAAACATTTTTGGAGATCTATAACAATAGGTTTGCAGAAAGCCCCTCGGCGCAATGGGGGGCAGGGAGGTAATGCTCAGTATTGGGGTAAAAGAGGAAGGGGGAGACGAGCAAGGAAGGGTGGGCGAGGGGGTCGAGGGGAGAGGAAAGAAGAAAGAAAATCACAGTAAAACAATAGAAAAGAAAATTAACCTTCGGCCATGTTGCCCCACGGGCCCTCAGCTCCAAACTCGTGAGATGAAAACTTTCCCTTTGGAACGGAGTGATCTTCTGCATCAATCTAACATCTTGATTTTGTGCGATCACAAATTTAGCTCGCATGGTCTAATGTGCTTTCCTTCTTTTGATTTTTTTTTCCTCTTCTCTCTCCAGTTTCTGGCCCCCTGAGCACACGTGACTTTGTCAATTACATGCTTTCTTGCTACTAATTTCACCTCGGATCCTTAAGGGGCTGGCAAGAGGAAGAGATAACCAATCGCCATTTCATCTGTGCTGACATCAAAATAATTTATGAATGAACGCGAAAAAAAAAAAAACTCAGACACGTTATCTTGAAAGACAATTTGGGACGCTTCCTCACGATAAATCAGAATGCCGATTTCGTGCTTCCACATAAACACAATGGAGGGTCCCGGTGAATCGCCGGTTTAGGAGACCGGCACGGCCCCGAGTGTGCACGCGCGTGCCCGACACCCCAGCCCGGCGGAGCGGCTCGTGGGGGAGGGGGTCGCCCGCACCCGGCAGCGCGTGGGGCGGTTCTCCCCCAAGCTCGCAGTCCCTCCGCGGCGGCAAGCCTGCCCGGCACGCTCCCCGCGTCTTTGCTTCTTAGGGGAAAACGTACGATTTGTAAAAAATCGAATGAAACCTAATTACATTCCCCTGAAACTTTTAATAAAGGTGATACACACCTACCTTCCCCCCCCCCCAATAAAAAGGGAGAGCAAAAACACACAATTACCTGAATTGTGCAGCCTGAAATTTTATTCCAATTTTTAAAAAAAATGCTACCGGGCGGTGGGGGGGGGGCGCCATCCCCTTGCGTTTGGGTTTATCATTTCTGGACGTTTTGAGGCGGGGGTCGGGGGTGGGGGGAGGTGGGAGGGAGAGGAGGGTTGGGAAGGAATTGGACTTCACAGGTTTCCCCGCCATCTCTTTCCGGGGGAGGAGATGTGATTAACGACTTCCTAAATAGCAGCCCCGTTCTCCAGCCTTCCATGGAGTGAACCTCAATCAGGCGCGATTGTTCCCCACGAGCGGGACGGCGTGGGGCAGGCGGGGGAGGGGCGCACGGAAGGTGAATGCGGGTGCTGGTGCCCGAACCCCCTCACGTTTTGAGGGTCCAGTACCCGCCGGCGGCAGAAGCGGATAATCGAATGCGCAGTAACGGATTAGGCTAGTCCCTTCCCCTCCTGCCCGCCCTCCACCCCTCTTTTCTAATGTTCACCCAGTTCAGAAAATTGTTGGTTACTAACTAGATACTGACAAGATTACCGGTCTCACCGAATACTACAGTAAACACACTCCAGCTCCAGACACTTTTTTTTTTTACGTTGAAAACATGAAACATCTTTGTTTTGAGTCCTAAAAAGTGTCAGCAGTCCTTGTCCCCCACCCCCCCTCCCTGTTTTCTTAAACAAGCAGTTTACGGAAAAACTAACTGTACAAATACCACTTCCCCTCGGCGAAGCTGCCGGGCTGACCCTCCCCCACCGTGCCCGCCACCCCTCCCCGCCCGGCGACCGAGTCTGCAGGCACTCCAGCACTGCATCTCTGGGACTCCAACGGGGCGATCAGAACGGAAAAGGCACAGAAATCACCACACAGACACACACACACACACACACAACCCTAGTTGCACCTCAAACGGGGGAGATCCGAACCGAGAAGGCACAGAAATTGCCACACACACACACACTCATTCTCTCTCTCTCTCTCTCTCTCTCACACACACCCCTGGTTGTACCTCCTCCCCAGAAAGCACCACACACACATACACACACACACACACACTCATTCTCTCTCTCACACACACACACACCCCTGGTTGTACCTCCTCCCCAGAAAGCACCACGCACACACACACACACACACACACACATTCTCTCTCTCTCACACACACACCCCCCTGATTGTACCTCCCCAGAAAGCACCACACATACACACACACACACACTCATTCTCTCTCTCTCACACACACACACACCCCTGGTTGTACCTCCTCCCCAGAAAGCACCACACACATACACATACACACACACACACACTCATTCTCTCTCTTTCTCTCACACACACACCCCCCTGGTTGCACCTCCTCCCCAGAAATCACCACACACACACACACACTCATTCTCTCTCTCTCACATACACACACACCCCTGGTTGCACCTCCTCCCCAGACTCAACAACTAAACCGAAATTCAAACTAATTGGCTTGGGTCTGAAAGAAATGGATGTATTCAAGAGGAGAAGTTATTTTCAGCTGTTTGTGATAAAGGCATCAATCAAAACTGATCAATTCGGAAAGATTTTTTTCATCTGTTTCTTTCTGTTGATTCTCAGGGAAAAGGGCAAGCTTTTTCATTTCATTTATTTTGGAAGGAATAACCTTGGTAACAGAGGGTGAGGAGGAAAGAAAAACTAAAATACAAATGATTTAGGAAATAGAACAAAAGCTCTGAGCTCTGAAGAAATTATTTGCTAACAAAACCTACAAGGCATTATTTTAACAGACACTGATTATTACTATTACAGATTACATAAACTTCTAAGGAAGTACCTTTAACAAAAGCATTACAGGTTAAACATTTCATGTCATGTGAAAACCTAGTTTTAATAAAAATTATATTTAAAAATGAACATCGCATATCAGAAACATAATTTGAAAGATTTTCATGTAAACTGAGGTGAAGGGTTGTTATTTATGTAATTATAATAATCTCATAAGCCAGCATAGCTTGGTTTTGTTAAATATTTATGGTAAGCACCATTTTATCTTTAATAAGTTTGTTTTTAATCAGAGAAGCTTACTCACTATAAAATCAGAGCCAGTATGTGGGTGGTTTCAGAATCACTATTAAGTCTGATGAAATTCGAACCTATCACCACGCAAATGAAGAGTGTGAGGGTTCTTAACTGAGCTATGCTGGATGGCACAGTTAGGAGACTCAAAGTCTTGCCTGATTGGGGGCCTCCAGTATTAGTGGAATTAAGGTAGGGTTCACTGGACTGGTCACTGGTGTCAGAGGTTATCGACTCATTCATTTCCTGAGAGGGACATCAGCCTTTCAAGTTGTGTGGAAGGCTTTTTCCAACTGGGAACCCTGAGAAATCCTCCAAAATTCATTCACAAAGAATTTCAGGCAAATGCATTTACATACCTTGGGGGTGGGAAGGGTAGGAGTTGGGGGAAAAGAGGCGAGGGGAGAGTAGAGGGAGGAGGAAGGAGGAAGACACAGAAACCATCAGTCCCAATTCACGAATATGGCGCTTCTTTTAAATAGATTCATCTTTTTCTGCCCTGTTCCCAAATCTTTTGAGCCTAAGATCCTTTTATAAACCGCTCATAAGCTCTTAAAGCTCGCAGAGTGCTTCTTTCACATAAAATGGTCCTGAGTCTCCCAGAATGCTTTCCAATTTGTCACCTTCCTGAAGTCTTCTGGTTTTAATTTTTTTCTCATTTCCTACTTGTTTTTAGTGCCACAAAGATCTGTGTTTGACTCAAAACGCATGTTTTGTACCTGCGAAAACTCAATGTTTTATAGCTTGACTTATCATAGTTCTTTCAGAATGTCTTTAAAATGAGCTCAAGTAGCTACAAAGACCCGGGGGCAGGGGGTGGTGCAGATCCAGGAGGCCCTTGGTTCGCACAATCGGGTTTCCCCCGTTTGTAAAACAGGTACACATTTTCTCAGCCTGCCCCCAGCCCCCAACAGTACAATGCGGGGAGCCTACCACCGCTGCTTTCAACTACAAGCAACGAGTGACTTCTATTAAAGCAGAAACAATGCTTCGGTTCTTCTTAAACCTGGGAGGAGGAGCAGCGGCACCGCGCCGAGCCGCCCCACCCGCCCTCTGCTCCCCGCAGCTGGGGTCGAAGCTGCACGCCAGCGCCGCCGGGGCAGCCCCGCGAACTCGCGCTGAGCGTGCACCTCCGTCCTCACAACTTCCTCTCACCTCTCTTCACTCACCTCTCCCTTTAGTCATCGCATCACCACCCCCTCAGTGGAGGTCCAGACCCTTCCAAGGAAGGCCGGTGATTTCAAACTCATTAGCAGGGATTTTATATCTGTCATCTTGTCCCCAAGAACAAACAAAAGGAACCCTTGCCTTCAGCTACGATGGCAAAAACACTAGGCGCAAACCCTCCGCGTGTATTGTATTGCCAGACTTGTGTCGTTTAGAATTTGACCCCTTGATCTAGGAGATGCGAGAAGCTCCTCAGAGTAAGGTAAGTGTGGTCAAAGGGAGAGAATCAGGAGGACCCCAGGAAATGACCACTCCCGCCCCCACCAGGCCCTGCCCAAAATGGAGCCGTCTGCAAACGGACCCCGGCGCCGTCCTATCGGGAAGGCACGGAAACGTCGCCAGGAGCCTGAGGGTCAGGAGGGCCGTCGGCGGGCGGGGGTGGCCGCGCGGGCGCGACGATTTTCGGGAACCCCCTCGGCCCCCGGCGCAATCTTTCCCGCGCAAAAGCCTTGGGCGCGCACGTCGGGCGAGCTGCGGGCCATCGGCCGGCCGCCTTCTCCACTTCTCAGTACGTGGAGGCCCCACGAAAGGGGTCCCCGCCCGGGCGCAGGTCTTAGGATACCGGCCCGTCGGAATGTGGGGGCGCTTTGTTTTAGCTCCCGAAACGCAAAATTCCGTTCTC